TATCGTCTTCCACCTGTAGCCGTTTTTCAGATTTCAGTGAGACTTTGACTGGGTAAGTTATCTATTATTTCCATTTTTTTCCTTTTCAGAGGCCTTTTCCTCATTTTTTCATTTTCTTTTTTGCTACTCATTGTCTGGATCTTGCTCTATGGCAAGTAGTGTCTGACCAGGTATTCTTTGACTGTTCAAATCTGCACTGTAAGATCATGTCGACTTATATATTATGATTTTCATTGCTAAAAAACACACTGCGGAGATTAGGTGTTCCACAAGATCACTTGTAGGTTTATCTTTGCAGTATGTTTGCTTCATTTGTTTGTCTATCCCAGACTGTACTCACCCATGGACTACATGGGTAAAGCAGAAGGGATAGTTGCCTATCTCTGCCATTCCTTGTATTGAATAAATTGGTACAGTCTGCTTTTCAAAATAGGGTTCGTGGTCACCCATTACACTGTTTCAGATGTTGTCGTTCTACCATACTCTCCACTCTGCTTTCTCTCACTTTTTCTTGTAGTGGAGTTTGAGAGTCCTTACCACTTTCCAGTTCCAAGCCACTGGGGTGGTGGACCATGGAGGCATCCTCCTGATTGTGTTAATGAAATGCAAATAATATATATATATATATAATATACATAAATGATTATATAACTTTTCAGTTGAGAGTAGGGCAGTGGTGTACTGCTGGTGTAGATAACAAGATATCCTCCACTATGTAACATTGGAGTGAGCCATCAAAATTACAGTTCACCCCCTTCAATTGGGATTCCTCATCCTACCCCCATGTGGATGTCGGTTCCCAGTGCCTGGGTTTTGGATTTCGAGTTGAACCAGTCAAGATAAATCCTCACACATCTATTAAAGATGTCTATATTCCTCTTTCATACTCTTGCTACTCCATCAGTGTTTTGGGTCACAGAGGTACTTGCAGATGATTTCTGTTCTTCCCCTTCTGCTATCCCTCGATGCATATTATTCCAAGGATATTACTGTGCTTGGGGTGGTTCTGGTTAATTTCACTATTGAGGGAGATGGCTTACATTACACAGGCATCTCTTTGATACCGGATGTCAGGTTCCAGGATCTATCTCTCAATTTTTTATATAAACGTGCCCTGTTTATGGGTCTGGGGTTCTTGATTCTCTCCAGTCTCATGAACTTGAGGTGAAGACAGTATGATCCTCTTTCCTACCCCCACATGGATGTTGGTACTTGGTGGCTTGGTTGTGGATTGTAGTTGACTTACCAATGGTATGATCCTTATACAACCCCTGCATAGACATTGGTTCTCAGTGGCATGGGTTTTGGATGTAGTTTAATTGCCATGTGTGGTCCATCATGCTGTAGCCACTCTACACCTACTTAATTTTACCCACTTTTATATTTTCTGAGATAGAGTTGCATAAGTACTATATGTTTCGGTACACTGTCCGACCTTAGTTATGTCCCACTTGGATGTGCTCTTCTGTTTACCGCCCATATGTGCGACATCTTTCTACAATGAACAAAATATATACATGGTTCAGAAGTGGTGCTGTCCCCCACATCAGATCTTTGAATCTAACTGTCTCCTTTAGGGAGTATCCTTCAGAGATTTTCGAAGGATACTTATTTCTTTCCCTTGCACTGGTCACTCCAACTGTTCAATGTGGGATTTTAGTTATTTATGTTAGCGAAGGTAATGTACCGTATCTGAAGTTATAATTTTCCTATACTAAAAATGTATTTCCAATAGGTACTTACCCCCCACCCCCCTCACACTTCCCACCTTTCCTCCACACTATAAAATGGTGCTTCCATCTTCTGCCAAAACTCGAAGTGATAGTTTGGTAGAGTTGAATAGGGGGAGTCGCATGTGTTATGAGAGTATGTTGCACTCTCATTGAGGGAGGTTAATGCATGATGATTTGCTGGAGAGATGTATTGGAATCAGTCAATTACAGATGGATGGGAGACAAAAGGCTTGTGGCATGTGTACAGATGTTTTTGCATATAGAGGGCAGCACTGAACGAGAATTGCTATTTATGTGAGCAGTTGTAAGTACCTATCAGAAATATATTTTCAGTATATGAAAATTATAACTTCTGATATTTATTTAGGGTAATTCATTAAAGAAAAAAGTTTATGTTTTTATTTGCACATTTGCAAATAGTTTTGGCTCTAAAGAAAACAACCTGTTTGTAGATTTTTTTTTACATTTTTTCTGTTTATTCCAAAGAATAGTTGTTCACTAAGAACCTATCACACCTTGAGAATATATTATCCACTTTTTGATTTTAAAACATTTCTCAGAATTTTTATAGAGGCCTTAGTTGAAAGGTTGTTCTAGTTCCGTGGAAAGGAGTGTGAGCATTTGCTAGTGAAACAAAGCTTTGAAAGCAGTTTGAGCATTTACTTGTGAAACATAGCTTTGAAAGCAGTTATAAGGAGAGTTTAAATATGATTGGATAAAGAAAGGATTGGACAATCACATAATAGTAGAATAAGTGTAGGTTTATGGGCTTTTTGTTGTTGTTGTTTCAGTACACATTCCTATTGCAGTTCCATTTGTTTGTAAATTGTGAGAGTATTTTTGTACTAAATTATAGTGTTTCAAAGCTTTAGATACTTACTTTAATGATAAAACATCAGATAACGTTAGACATTGTAAGCTTCTACAGTTTAGAGTAGGGTTGAATGTGTAACAAAGAAAACGTTTTTATAAGTTTAACCCCTTAAGAAATGTACAATTCTTGGTGAGGGTTTTGTCATAATCACTTGGAAGTAGTGTATCTAGACACAGGAATATATATATGTACAGATTACAGTATAGAACAATGAAGTCACGTGACTAGAAATTATGTGAAGCTTAACAAAGATATCATTTTTTGATATGTGATTCTTTGTTTAAAACTAGGATGTTTTTGCTTTTCAACCTTTTCACATTGGATAGGTCAAAGTGTGCATGTCACATCCTTTCACAGAGTTACATTCAAAACTTAATTACATTACTATATATTTCAATATATACAAATAAACTTGCATCAAATTTTAATATTATTTAAGTTTTAATTTTATAAGGAAATATTTGTTAAAAAGCTCAATCTCCCCAGTATGAGAACTATGACATTTGTTATCTATGCCTTCCCTTTTCTTTAATTTATTTATCACCCCTCCAAGAAGTACAAAATGTAATTTAAATTATTCATTGTATTGTCGTTGCTCAGGCAAAGCATAATTTTTATAGACTTCATTCTTATTCGGTTACAGAACCATAAACTAGAAAACGAGACCCTCCTGCTACACCCACCTGTCACATCCTCTCTTTCATGTCTTGCCAATAGTTCTTTCTGATGCTTAATATTATATTATTTATAACCAATACAAAGCTAAAGATTCAATCTATCAAATGACATATTATATTACATTGTTTTCTCCACACATGGTTGTCAGTTTTGCTTCCAGTTCAAGCTTGATTCCCATGGAAAAGACATCGATAAGCTTAGCTGAATTTCTAAATGGCTCTTGTCGCATACTTAAAAAGGCAGAATATTTGTGATAGTTATGGGATATATTATGCTTTTTGCATGTTATTATTCTGTGTTTTTTGGAGCATTACTTAATTAAATAAAAAATTATCTATTGCAGTTGTACCGTCAGAATAAAAAAAAGTAGGGTTAAGTGTTATTGACAGTTGAGAGAATAAAGAAGACCCAGATAAGTACTTTATTTCTTGGTTTTTCATGTGTGTTTATTTATTATTATTATAAAAGTAACAAAAATTAAAAAAATTAGAAATGTTTTAGATTAGATAATTTTGGATTAGGGAAAATAAATAATAATAATAATAAAATTTTTATGAAGTACATTTGTGAGCATCTCGTGTTTGCCAAGTAAATTCAAATTTTATGGCTAGAATATTGGTTTAGACATGATTCAAAGGGCAATAAAATAATAAAATTTATGTATAAATAGATGTATACTGTGGTTTTTAAGTTGTTTAGGATAAAGAGATTGAGGTTCATGTTACAGTTTCAAGTCATTATAGAAAGAAGGAAAAGGGCAATTTATATTTATTTCCTTTTTTTTTCAATAGTTTCAAGGTTGGTCAAATTGACCAACCTTGCATAAAGTTAGGGTAGAGAAAATAACAGAGAAATTATAAAGTTTTTCTGAAAAATGCATTTTATATTTATTTGGAAGACTTTAGGGATTATGCAGATAAAACTTGAAAATGTTCAGGTGAAGAAAAAATATTCTTAATCTTAATATGAAAATCACTTTGTACTTGGAGCAATCAACACTTTGACACCATATAATTAACCAAGAGGCTTTGCACATAAGTTTCAGTTTATGGAATATAACTCCTAAAAGTACGAACAAAGGATATATGTTTTCATTTTAGCTTGGAATATCTAATGTATAAGTGTTTATGTCCTTCAAACTTATAAATTAATATAGTGGTGGAAATAAATTCTGAAATATGCAATTTGCGGTGAAGAAATGTCACATGATACATAAAAGTGGAAATTGAGAATTTCTTAAATATATCCTTTCGAACTTAAGAAATTTAAACTTATGTTAAAATTTGAATTTTGACTTAAGTTTATTGGTGTATGTTAATAATGAAATAGTTTAATTAAATTTTGAATGGAAATGTAATGAGCGTGATATTGATATGCAGGCTTTGACCTACCTGCAGCTAGAGGCTAAGTGATCATATAGGCTACTAATTAACAACAAAAAATTTTGGTGATATAAGACAAGCAGTAAAATGTTCCTGTTATGAAATATTTTTTGTAAACAATCATCTTTTTTATTTGAAGCAAATATTTCTGAAGAAAGATGTTTGTATCTGTTATTAATCAGTAATTTTATTTTTAGCAAAGCAGTTTGCATCGAACCTGGAATTTGTGAATACTTTTTAGAAAATTATTCTTTATGTTTATCTGTTATTCAGTTACTAGAAAACCATATATAAATAGATGCTTATTTTATATTTAATTTGGCACAATAACAGAGTCAGGAAGCAAGAGAATATGGGCAGAAAGTTGTGAATCGTACAAAACAGTTTGAAGAGTATGGTGAAAAGGTAAGTATTATAATAAAGTATGTTTCTCTTAACTTCTTTTATGAGCAGTTGTCTAACTGATCATAGTATATGTTTTTATTTATTTTATTAATATAAATAAAACTATGATTAGAAAATTTTTAGTTGAATGATTCTGAAGATAATATAGAACTTTAGTTTTAGAATTTGTAATGAACCTGAAGATCTTGAAAGTGCAACAGAATGCAAACAGCTGTTGTATATTCATGATATCTGCATTTGAGCACAGTTCTTTTGATCCTAATATATATTTTACATGTCAGAATTAATATAGTAGGGAACAATATTGGATGGATGATTTAACGCCTTTAGTTTTGTTGGAAGGTCTCAATTAATGTTTTATGTTGTTAAAAATAGAACCAAAAAGGAAATGTAACTTGTTATTAATATTAGTCTCTAGTCCATACAGAGTATATACTGGAAAATAATTATGTAGCTCTAAAATAAATTTCTTTAACAAAAAAAATGCCTGTTTTATAAAATTTCATCTATTCAATTATTTACTGATATGTATTAAAGAAAGGTTTTTGACAAATATGGATTGACATCTTTTGTAAACAGTATAATTTAGAGACAAGTAGATTGGTTTCACATTTATTTTTTGATATTCATGTTGTTGCTTTTGTGTCATCTAAATATCACTACATATTATTCTAATTAACTATGGAAGAGAGGGATATCATTAGTTAGATTAGTGTATCTTCCTGTTGTAACAGTTACTACTGGGAGAGTGGGTTGAGCAATAATAGCTTGTGCAACAAATTATGGTTGGAGGTTAATGTTCTTTACCTAAGTTTGAACATTAAATTTTGGGTCTGTCTTACTTTTTGCACTTTCAGTTGTCTATCTTTGACACACCTATACTACATGTTAACACTTTCCTCTGGTCCTTAAAATCTATAACTTGATGCTAATAAGAGTGCAGAATGAGTCATGATAATACTTAAAGATCATCTAAATCAAGGTATTCACACACACACACACATAAAAGATTCAGAGACACAATGATATTCAAGTTTGTAAGTGAAACATAAAGTAATAATGACAATAATATGTTTTCTGAGTGGTCTTACTTATACAGAGTACTAAGAAAATAATACATACTATGGTGCAAAACCAGGGTCTCCTGTCAAGTATTATTAGTGTGTTTGACTGGATTTTCTCACTAATATGGTCTATTACGCTAGCTAGTTTACTAAATCACCATTGTATGTACAGATTAGTGGCATGGTTAATCTTTTTAATTGTTAAGTAGAATCTCAGGTTATTTTGGCTAATTAACAATGAATAAATTATGTACTTTAGCAATAACTAGTCTAATTTTGAAACTTAAAATATTAGTTATCTGTTAATTCTAGGTGAAGCCTGACATGAAAATTTCAAGTATTCATTATCCAGTTAGGCCAGGTTTGCTTGATGATAATTATGCTGAACTTCCATGGTAATTTTGACTTCAACTGGTTGTAAATGAATGCTAGGTGCTGAAAATTAGTTAGGCCATCTAGAGATGAGAATCATTTTTTTTTTTAGTAGTGCCTGTTATTATGTCTCTGCACAGAAATGTAGTGTTTTTCTGTTTCTTCTTCTTCTTCCAAAAACTTTCAATCAACCACAATCCCTTCATTTCTCAGTGTATTGATTTGAAACTTAGTAGGATTATACCTTGGTCCAGTACACCCAAACACCTTTATCTTTTTTTTATTTAATTTTTGTAAGGATTTTATGAGGTCAAACAACCCAAAAATATATATTTACAGCAATCAAGATGAAGATTATCAGAAATATAAATTTTCATGAACCCAACACTTCACATACAAAAAAAGTTTGAGTTGCTCATTTTGAGTCTTTTTAGGGGGGGGGGGGCAGAGCTCATAAAAAAGCACAATTTTGGATTTTTGCCAAGTACTTGGTTGTATTTTGACCAATTTACATAGGATTTGGTACAAACATATTTTTTACAGGTCCCACACATTGACAAACATGAATAATAGAATTACCCATGTTTAGTAATTATTTGGGGGTAGGGGGATCAACATGCCACAGAAAAATGTAATTTTAGAGTTGTTTGACAGTTACTCTGCCATATTTCAGCCAATTTTACAGATCCAAACCAGAGATGTAGACAATTTTTGAAATTTTTGTCTTTTGCTCAATTTTTCAGCAAGGAAAGCACAATTTAGTTTTTCTTGTGAACCAACTTACATGGGAGGAGGCACAAAGATACCTTCTTGCAGGTACCAAGCTGTTTTATAGACAGTTTTCGATTTTTCTGTGTTTCATGATTTTTCTAGTGTTAAACTTGGTGATGCTAGTATTGCATGGTGGAGACATGTTGCATTTGCCCATGAATGTTAGCCTCTTTAATTGAATAATTATGTCTGAAATGTACTTCCAAGCTTTTTATTACAAAGTAGAAATCTCACCAACAACTGGCTGTTATGAAATCTCAATAATCCTTTTTCTACTTATAGCAAGTTCTAAACAAGTACTCATTATATATAATTTGTGACATTTTTTTTTTCTTATTTGTGTTTAGTACTTAAAGTTTGTTTTATCTAGGACAAATCTTAGCATGCTCACTCAAGTTAAATGAGGTTTGTTAATAAATGATTATCAATTTGAGCTTCATTTTTCCATGATTTATATATTCATGATCTCTATTGTATATAGGTGATGTTTTATCCGTAATTTTGGATTAATTATTTTTAACAACAGTATTTAACCCTCCATATGTAGTGACTGAAAATTTCATGAATTTAACCTTCCATGACTAGTTTTGAATATATACTTAGTCAGGTACATTGATGTAACATTTCTAAATTTTCATGCAGGTGTTCTGTATGTAGTATAACATTGTTTTGAGCTGAATGTTAAAAGGTCATAAGCATGTGCTAATCAAGTTACTCTAGTGAAGCTTGCTTGTGCCAATGACCAGAAACTTGTATTACTTCAGAATCGTGTCTAACCCCCACTGAATAGAGGTGAACCCATCTCATAGGGTGCCTTTTGTACTTGTCCAAATTGATATGCAGTGCTGAATTCTTATATGCTGCACTTTTAATATTTTGTCTCAATTCAGGTGGTAAATCAGAATTCTTATACTGTTTGTCCTGGATCGATGTATAGAGAATTCTCTTTGTCATTGTCCTGTGCAGAAGTGGGTGGACAAGATTCCATCTCTACCTTAGCAACCAGTATAGTCAACCTGGTAAATAGACATGTTGCACAATAATTGTGAATAAAGATTTAGTTTTTCTCTTTACTTGTATGTGTATTTCTTTCACTTGCCTTCCAAGTTTGAAATTATTCTTTGGAAGCATTTCCTGAATTTGTATTTTGCAAATATTTTTAAACTTATTCGTCAGAGATCAATGTATGTACCTAGGGTGCTTTGCATTCCAGTCCAAAAGCAGTAGTATTATATTGAACTGGCTATATAGTGAGGCAGGCAATTTATGACAAAGATCCTCTAAATACTTTGAAAGCAGTTTTATTTACAACATTTTATTACAGGAGTTGCCTAATCAAAGCCATATCATCAACAACCTAACCATTTCTTCATTGCCAATTCCGCAGTGATGCTTCATCTTCAGATTCTGTCTTAACTGAAGTGTTGCTTTCTTTCCGTGATTGTTCTTCAACTTGATCATTATTATTTTCCTTTTGCAATCCAGTATTTTCTTCCATTTATGGTATATTTTCTTCTTCCTACCCTTGGATAATGGCTCTACTCTACAAATTTGTATCCTGATTTTCAACGTTGGGGTAAATTGTGCAATAGAATCAGCATTAGTAGAGTCTGTGCATGACTATGCAGTAAACGATGACAAATTAGTTCACTCATTGGCTTATGTGGTCTTTCAAACTCTTTCTCGATTGTTCTGGAAATAGAGCTCTATAACTTTTCTGCCAATTTTGTGGACAAGGTTATATTATGTATCCCATCTTGTTATAATTCTATGATGTAAATGCACCCCAGGAGAATCAATGAATTTCAGTTTCATTAAAACTGGTAAAGAAATGGGTTGCTAGAATGGTTTTTGAACATTTGTCAACTTGTCAGGTCTTTTGGTAGTTTAGATTTGAATCAGTAAATTTTTTCCACATTTTTTGCATAATGTTTGGCCTGTAGACATTTACTGCAGTCCTTGTGTAGTATTTTGTCATTTTTGTATACAATATTGCCACCTTTTAACAAAGCAAACTTCTTCCTTGAGCTCCCTTCTTACAAGTTTTTCTAAACTTTTTGTATGAATTTTGTAATTTTTCATTTATATAGCAAACTTCAATTTGTTTTAAACTTCCTTCTGACTTTTCTGTTTATTTCACTACTTTAAAGCTTAATTTTCTGAAATGGTAGTTTGTATTTTTTAAAACACATTGCTGTGTAACACTAAATATACTACTACTGAGGGTTGAGTAGTGCATGCATTGTGTAAGTTGATAGGTTAACGTGAGATACACATTTGCCAAGTTGTTTACATGATTCAAAAGGTAATAAAAAATAAACATATTTATACTTTACAAGTTTAAAGCTATTTATGATAAACAAAGGTAATTTCATTTCTAGGAAGAAAAAATGTAATTTAGATTTATTTCGTATTTTTTTTTTATGGTAGTTATGAAGTTAGTCAAATTGACCGACCTCATATTGAGTTAGGGTACACAAAATAACAGACAAAATATAAAGTTTTACTGAAAAAATGTGTGAAATTTATTTTAAGAAGTTTGAGAGATTATGCAATTGAACTTTGGTAATTTTCAGATGAAGAAGAGTGTTTTTAATCTTAATGTAAAAGTCACTTTGCACTCGGAGCAGTCAAAACTTTGATTCCGTATATTCGCAGAGAAATGTTTAGGGAAAATACTTCATTAAAATTTTGATATTTTGTCTACAAAAGACTTAATGCATACTGAAAGCTTTCGAAATTTCATGAAGATACACAAAACATATTATAAATTATAGCATGGAAACTATAAAG